GTCAAGGTGTATTAATTACTCACTCTCATTTTATCAGAATGTCCTTGATCTGAATTCCCTCGGAACACAGGTGAAAGACATACATGATAATATACACTTGGAAGGTCCTGGAGGGATTGGTACCAAACCTGCACATGAAAATCACTCCATATGAAAGCAAAAGTCATGGCAGGAGATGCAACATTCCCCCGATGAAAAGCAGGGGTGCCACGAGTACACTGAGAGACAATACATTAAGTGTCCGGGGCCCAAGACTGTTCAATTGCCTCTCAGCATACATAAGGGGGATTACCAGTAGACCCCTGGCTGTCTTCAAGAAGGCACTGGACAGGCACCTAAAGTCAGTACCTGACCAACCGGGCTGTGGTTTGTACGTCAGCTTGCGTGCGGCCAGCAGTAACAGCCTGGTTGATCAGACCCTGATTCACCATGAGGCCTGGTCTCAGACTGGGCCATGGCAGCGTTGACCCCTGAAACCCTCTCCAGGTAAACTCTAGGTAATAACTCAATAACTGCAATATGAGGGTCTCAGACCCTCATATTGCAGGTGCCACCTGGCAGGTGTGACTTGGCACATGGCACTCTTGCATGGTAGGAAGTAAAGCTGTTACCCCCCCCCCCCCCCCACTACCCCTTCTCAGCTAAGAGGGATATAATGGTCAGTCAGGCATCTCCTAGGTCAAATAAGCATTGTAAGATGGGGAGAGAGGGCTATTATACTATCTCTAGACTACTCTAACATTCTGACATTCAAAAATCCCACACATGATTAATCTGGTGATAGTCTCAGCAGGTGAGAGTTAGTATAAACATGAATCTTGTAATAGCCATGTGCTCATCCCATCCACATATTTACATCTGACATCCAGTTGGACATGTTCATAGCTGCTCATCAGCCTGACAACAAGACTGTTTTTCATCAGAATATTGAAGGTGGAAAATTCATGGGACTGATTCCTAAAGATTTTAGATTCAACTAATAAAGCAGGGCTTTGTGAATCAAAATTGAAAGTTGCATTCTTTCTCTATAAAGAGGTGATGAACTCTGATTCATTACTCTTACTGCATTGTGATAACTATAGGATGCTGGTGGTAGAAAGTACAATATAACCAAGCTTTAACTTTCTACTATCAGTGCTCTCTTAGCCACCAAAGAAAACTGCCTTCTTAGAGTGATGAGGCTTTGAAGAGTTAAAGTAACTGCTTCCATATACTTACCCTGTTATGTGCTGCAGCAGACCCAAGGAGAAAGGTCAATTATATGTTGGTTTGAATTGGGAAAGGCTCTCATCCCATGTATGAAACTCCAGAATACTGCACAGTGGTGTAAAATTGTCTAGTAACTAAAGTGTCTTTGGGTCTGTTGTACCGTGTGATAGTGTTAATGTATAGTCAAGAGAATTGTCATTACATTGCTTGTTAAGGTAAAACACAGTATATCAGAGGCTGACCACTAGCTCTTGCAAATGTGTAATTTAAAAATAATTAAGCCTTGTGTCTCCCTTCAATGTTGTAAATAAATGGAGAGATTAAAGAGTGGATGTAATGATCCTAGTAAGGCTTATACTTGAGGGCTGAATGAACAAATGGCCTAATTCACTTAGAACTGGGTCTGTATATAATTCTAAAGAAGCCATACATGTCTTCTACAACTTTCTCCTATCACTATTCTTTTTCATTGAAATCAAACTGGGAAAAAATTCTTGAAGTATTTACTATAAATACCTAAAAGGTAAATGGACTTAACTCCATTGATTGCAGTGAGCCTTTATTGAAAAGAAAACCTTTACTGGTTGATAGTTCTACCATTGTAGCTGAGATGGGGTTATCCTAATGAACAGAGTTTAAAACTAATTCATATTTTTCTGCATCTTCAGCAAAGATGTGGAGGTTTAGTGGAAATTCCTTTGAGCATAGCAGAAGGATCTTCACCCGTTCTTTGAACAGTCATGTTGATAAATATAAGTAAATAATTGCTCTTATTTCCACATTGTACATAGTCTTTACAAAATTGGTGACATTTAAACCTTAAACTGTCCAAATGTAGATCTACGTTGACGTGCGTAGCGCTCCTACCTTTATTTTCTTAATTTGAAAGCGTGTAAAGAAAACGTAGATCTATGTTCGGAGGCCCCTGCACGTGAATGTATATCTACTTTTGGACAGTTTAAGGGTTAATAGTGCAGATGGAAAGCCCTTGGTTATGCAGAGCATTTGAGGCAAACTAAAATCTAATCTAAGACAAATAAAACATAACAGAACATAAAAAATGCTCCACACACATGTATGCAGACATTAAAGATGGACACAGAATAAAAGTAACTAATGACTATATCATGAATACATACATATATACATACATACATGACAGTAAATTAGATAAGGTTGTCTAATAATGGTAAATCCTCATAACTAATCATTGGTTTATATCTTGTTACACTTATTTTTTATTGAAGGTAAACATTAATGTTAATTATACTACCATATGCTAATGTGTCTTTATATGTCTAAAAAGAAACTATAATGCTAAAATAATTACATTGCTTACAGTCTTAAATTAAATGTTCATTCATAACTGAAAAAAGTTGATCCAGAGGTATTTTGAGATACTATATAAGATATATATATATATATATATATTTCTATGGTTAAACAAATTTGAGAGAATCAAATGCTAGAACTGTTCCTTTTTCATTCATTTGGACAACATATTAATCCAGAGGAAATGTTTTATTTATTTGTTAACTGAACTCATTTTGGAATGTCGTTTTAGCAAAGATACAAAATTTAACTGATCAATTGGATTGTCATCATTGTAAATGTAATTAGGACACAGTAGAACATTTTTAAATCTTTTTATTTACTTGATTTTATTTTTATCTATGTTAACCCTTTCCTGATTTTCTTTTGATCTCATCATGAGCTGTTAGTTTCATTATGACATTTTGTAAAGTTTAATTATTTGATAAATATGTTAAATTTAAGGTATCTTGCAAGTGACCTCCAGTAAATTCATTATGCAACAGTTTTCTTTCTTTTAAAAAGAAATGCACAGTTTAGTGCCTTGCTAAAAATAAATTGGTTATTTAGCAATGTATAATTTTTTGTATTATAATACAGTTAAGTTTTATGTTTGAGAACCTGTGCTACAGTGTCTTAGTAGTTAAAATAGAATTGACTAGATCAGTATGTTTTAAAAACTAAATTTAAGTAAAAAGATGTGTTTGTGTTTTCAGTTTTTATTATTTATAATATATTAGTAATTTAGAAGTAAGATTTTTGTTAAATATGCTTGTTCACTTGTTTATTATTTTCACAAATCAAAATTGTAAAGAATGCTTTCATCCCTTGGGCATAATAAGACTGCATTTGCCCGATTTAAGCTTAGCGTAAACTTGCTAAAATTATGTTACCATAATGAAATTGATATAATTGCTATATTTGTGAGAAAATTCAAGTATACTGTGATAGAGATGGGGATAAAAATTGGTTCACTTGGGTAACTGGAAATGCTATATATTTTTTTTAACTTGTACAGTTTATGGACCACTTAAAGAAATTAGAGAACTGGAAAACTTTAGTTAAATGTGAAGACATTGTATTACACTGGCAGTGCTACATTTTTCAATAACTTTTACTTTGGTTAGGCATTATCATTAATAAAATGTGTAAGAGCAACCAAGAACAATATTAAGTGAATGCATTGTAACTGTATATATATGCACAATGATCTAGATTACTTGCATTGTCATACTCTAGGATAGTTCTGTGTACAGAAAGCAAGTTTTTGAAGATTTAAAGAGTATTCTAGTTATATTAATGGAGGCTCTTGAGTATAATATGAAGAGAGCTTGCTCTTATAGTTCGTAGTGAGTATTGTTCTCTTATTTAGAAATAAGTTTAAAAACTGTAATATAAACAAGCCTATTGTGAGAGTTGGTAGAGAGGTGCTCCGCCCACATATACCAGCCATCCCACCCTGAAACAAGTAAGATTATATACAGCACACATTGTCACATCATGCGGCAGAAATGCTCTGGTGGTGGTCTGTGAAGCACTTGTACAACTGTACATAAACGTAGTGCATGATTACACACACAAGGAATATAATAGTAATATTTCCCAACATACTTGCCATCTGCCAAAAGATTATAATACTTTTCACCCTGTTCTGATGCTGCTAACTGCTGCATTAACTGTATAAGTCATGTAGGTTATACATGCCTTCTACTTACATGAATTCTTACACTTCAAAATTTAATTAAAATGGATTGTTATCTAGCTTTCACAAATATTTGCTGGCATATACTGTGCATTATTTATGAGATACTGTGTACATAACTTACAAAAAAAAAAAATAATGATTTATTTCATAGGATTAAGCATGATGTAACACATGACTTAAGCAGAATATCCTTCCAGCTTACAGGGCCAGAACAGAATATTCCTGCATGCTAATCAAATGTCCAATTTAGATTTTCCTTTAGTTAAGAGAATGGTTAACCCTATCTTATACTTATCCTTTTGACGTGTAGGGATAGTGAGTAGATGCAGCAAATTTATTACAATATATATCTAGTGATAATTTATCATATTACTAATATCGACTAAATATCCTGGCTAAGAGAAGACTTGTTGGAAGTGATATGCAAAAATTGGCATGATTACTTTTGTGGAGATTATTTACTTTAGCACGACTTCAATTTATGTTAATACTGCAGAGTTTGCAAATATATTGTGAATACAGTGTTACATTCGAATTTAAAATTTGTTATTCAGAATTTGTATGTCATACTATCACTATATTTTTGTATTCACTGTAATTATCCCAAAGTTGTAAAATTTAAAGGACCTTTCAATGTCCATGGTGTCTGTGCATATCAGAACTTTCATAGGGACTAAATTGCTTGTCAGTGTCCCATATGCCCAAAATTATTAGGAAAAATGCATTTTTCTCTCTAGTTATACAAAATAACACAGGTTAATATTTTGTTTTACAGGGCTTGAGGCAGATCGTATTATTGGTGGTGAAATGTTGGGTTCTGGTGAAGATGATAAACTTTATAAAAGGTAAGAATTTTAGGTCTTCTCTATTGTGAAAATATGTATTGAAAAGTATTGGAACTGATACAAAGTGGAAGTTATCCCAGTTGCTCTTTGCTGATGACACAGTTTTGGGGGGGGGGGATTCTGAAGACAAATTATAAAGGTTCGTGGTTGAATTGGGGAGGATATGTAAAGGAAGGGAATTAAAGGTGAACATGGAAAAGAGCAAGGTAATGAGGAAAACAAAATTTCTAGGCAATAACAAGTTGAATATCAGATTGGAGGGAGGGAGTATTCAAAAAGTGGATGTATTTAGATATTTTGGAGTGGACATGTCAGTAGATGGGTTTATGAAAGATCAGGTGAACCATAGACTTGATGAAGGGGAGGGGGAAGGTGGGTGGTGTGTTGAAATATCTGGAAAGAAAGAAGTTTATCTATGGAGGCAAAATGAAAAGGAAGGGAGGAGGGTAGAGGAATGTACCAGAGTATAATGATACACTTATATGGATGTAGGGCATGGGTTTCTTTCGATTTCATTTATGGCTTTTAGTTCTTCCCGCGATTCCTGACTCCTATAACATTCCTTTAGCCTTAGTTCGATGTTTGCTATTTCTCTGACCAGTGTCTACCTACGCATTGCAGATATATTGCCCTCTTTTAGCCGCTCTGTTATTTGTTTCCTTCGCCTGTAAAGGGAGCGCCTATCTCTTTCTATTTTACATCTACTCCTCCTATTTCTTAAAGGAATATGCCTTGAGCAGTATTTAGATAAAGGTAGGGAAGTTTTCATTGCATATATGGATTTAGAAAAGGCATATGACAGATGGGGGAGCAATATGGCAGATGTTGCAAGTATATGGAATAGGTAGTAAGTTACTAAATGCTGTAAAGAGTTTTTATGAGGATAGTGTTATGGGACTATGGGACCCAACACATGTTGATGTATTTTAGTAACAGTTACTCTGGAATATCTAATTATATTGAATTGATGGGGACACAACACTTAAATGGCCTTAAGGGCAGGTCACTGAGAGGCAGCTGGGTCAAGCCTGTTTTTCTCAATATAATAGGTTATACTATAGACACACACACTAAAGAGGTCTTTGTGGCATTTATGGATTTGGAAAAGGCGTATGACAGGGTGGATAGGGGGGCAATGTGGCAGATGTTGCAAGTGTATGGTGTAGGAGGTAGGTTACTGAAAGCAGTGAAGAGTTTTTACGAGGATAGTGAGGCTCAAGTTAGAGTATGTAGGAAAGAGGGAAATTTTTTCCCAGTAAAAGTAGGCCTTAGACAAGGATGTGTGATGTCACCGTGGTTGTTTAATATATTTATAGATGGGGTTGTAAGAGAAGTAAATGCGAGGGTCTTGGCAAGAGGCGTGGAGTTAAAAGATAAAGAATCACACACAAAGTGGGAGTTGTCACAGCTGCTCTTTGCTGATGACACTGTGCTCTTGGGAGATTCTGAAGAGAAGCTGCAGAGATTGGTGGATGAATTTGGTAGGGTGTGCAAAAGAAGAAAATTAAAGGTGAATACAGGAAAGAGTAAGGTTATGAGGATAACAAAAAGATTAGGTGATGAAAGATTGAATATCAGATTGGAGGAGAGAGTATGGAGGAGGTGAACGTATTCAGATATTTGGGAGTGGACGTGTCAGCGGATGGGTCTATGAAAGATGAGGTGAATCATAGAATTGATGAGGGAAAAAGAGTGAGTGGTGCACTTAGGAGTCTGTGGAGACAAAGAACTTTGTCCTTGGAGGCAAAGAGGGGAATGTATGAGAGTATAGTTTTACCAATGCTCTTATATGGGTGTGAAGCGTGGGTGATGAATGTTGCAGCGAGGAGAAGGCTGGAGGCAGTGGAGATGTCATGTCTGAGGGCAATGTGTGGTGTGAATATAATGCAGAGAATTCGTAGTTTGGAAGTTAGGAGGAGGTGCGGGATTACCAAAACTGTTGTCCAGAGGGCTGAGGAAGGGTTGTTGAGGTGGTTCGGACATGTAGAGAGAATGGAGCGAAACAGAATGACTTCAAGAGTGTATCAGTCTGTAGTGGAAGGAAGGCGGGGTAGGGGTCGGCCTAGGAAGGGTTGGAGGGAGGGGGTAAAGGAGGTTTTGTGTGCGAGGGGCTTGGACTTCCAGCAGGCATGCGTGAGCGTGTTTGATAGGAGTGAATGGAGACAAATGGTTTTTAATACTTGACGTGCTGTTGGAGTGTGAGCAAAGTAACATTTATGAAGGAATTCAGGGAAACCGGCAGGCCGGACTTGAGTCCTGGAGATGGGAAGTACAGTGCCTGCACTCTGAAGGAGGGGTGTTAATGTTGCAGTTTAAAAACTGTAGTGTAAAGCACCCTTCTGGCAAGACAGTGATGGAGTGAATGATGGTGAAAGTTTTTCTTTTTCGGGCCACCCTGCCTTGGTGGGAATCGGCCAGTGTGATAATAAAAATAATAAAATAATAATAACACACACATTTAAATAAGTTTATAAAGTTGTATTTCTTTTTGTAAAAGTAAAGTAAGGTGTGGAAATGGGAAACATTATTGTGGTAACTAGAGAGTTGTACTTGACAACAGTCTTTTGTTTTGGTGGGTGTGGGAGGAGCTTAGCTAGGCTCCTCTTCCTCTCTTATTGTCCTTAATTTTATCATAGTTGGAAAAATCTTTCCCCTCCAGTCTCTACTCTATGAAATCCTTTACCCACAAGCTGTGTGCAAACTAGGGTAGCCCACTTCTGTTTGGGCCATCCTTGCTCCAAAGCAGTCTTCTCAAAAAAAGAAAATTATCTATCTGGGTCACCCTGTAAACTTAGGAACAAAATTTGCAGCTTTAGTTATTTATTTATTTATTTATTTATTTATTTGAACATGATACATTGAAATACAAGGAAATACAGTGTTTAAGTGTAACATGCCAAAGCCCCTTATATGCAGAGCATTATGGGCATGCTTAAAATTAACTTAGGATTAACTAAGCAATGGTATATTCAGTGGTAAACATTGTTGTAAACAGTTAACAATTAAGCACAAATGAGTATTTCAAAGAGAGGTCATATGGTCATTTGCTGTGTTGCTGTGCATTCAGTAGAATGGGGTATTCTGTTAGATAATGTAATTAAAAATAACAAAGTTTGATTGGGTCACAGGTTAAAAATTTATGAGATACAATTATTCAGTATTTATTTGGTTGTGGGTAAGTGATTTTTAAGAAGAGACTTGAATTTATAAACAGACAGTGTTTCTTTTATATTCACAGGTAGTGAATTCCAGATTTTTGGGCCTTTTATGTGCAGTGAGTTTTTGAATAGTGTGAGATGGACACGAGGAACATCAAAGAGTGATCTGTGCTTTGTGTTATGGTCATGTGTTCTGTTGAGGTTGGTAAGGAGACATTTGAGGGGAGGGTTTATATCCAAGTTAAGTGTTCTATGTATGTAGTAGGTACAATAATAGGTATGGATGTTTTGTATGGTGAGTAGGTTTAGAGTTTTGAATATTAGTGGAGTGTGCTGCCTATAGTGGGAATTTATCATTCTGACTGCAGCCTTTTGTTGGGTAATTAATGGTCTGAGATGGTTTATTGTTGTTGAGCCCCATGCACAAATTCCATAGGTGAGATAGGGGTAAATAAGTGAGTGATATAGGGCCAGGAGGGCTGACTGTGGAACATAGTACCGTATCTTCGATAGTATGCCTACGGTCTTGGAAATTTTCTTGGAAATTTGTTACCTTTGATATACCTTTGGAGAATTTCAAGAGTATATCTACTCTCTGAGCCCGGCCATGGGCCAGGCTCTTCTGGTGCTTGCCTGGTCAACCAGGCTGTTGCTGCTGGAAACCCACTGCCCCACATATCCATCACAGCCTGGTTGATCTGGCACCTGGTGAAGATACTTGTCTAGTTTCCTCTTGAAGGCTTCAACACTTGTTCCAGCAGTATTTCTGATATCGTCTGGTAAGATGTTGAAAAGTCTGGGACCCCGGATGTTGATACAGTGTTCCCTTATTGTCCCCATCATACCCCTGCTCCTCACTGGGTTTATTTTACACTTTCTCCCATATCTCTCACTCCAGTATGTTGTTATGGCAGTGTGGAGATTTGTTGTATGTGTGTTTGAACTTTGAGTCTATTATCAAGATGGATTCCTAAGAATTTTCCCTCTGTGAGCTTTGTGATAGGTGATCTGTTTATCATTATGTTAAGAGGGACATCTGTAGCTCTGTTACCAAACTGAATGAAGTAGGTTTTGTCATTGTTGAGAATAAGTTTGTTAGTCCTCATCCAGGTAGATATTTTCTGTAATTCGGTATTCACAGTATTGGCTAGCATGACTGGGCTCGGGTGAGACAAGACGCATGTAGTGTCATCTGCAAATAGTGTGGGTTTGAGTAGTTGTGATGCATTTGGTAGGTCATTTATGTAAACGAGAAAGAGAAGAGGGACAAGGACACTTCCCTGTGGGACACATGTTAAAGTACTGCTCAGGCTCTTGATCTGAACCTCCTAACCTTTGACGTTCTTCCTCCTTAGCTTTCATTGATTTCATTTCAGCCTCTAGCACAGCTAGTTTAAGTCTCATCCTCTCCTTTCCATATCACCTGGAGTAGGTGATCCCTCATTGTTACTGTTACCAGGCATGTTTACTGATGGATTATTACCTTCCTCCCTGAAGCCTGAAAAGTTTAAAGACTCAACTTCTGACATAGCTTTATCCTTAAACACTTGCTTCCCTCTTACAGTATCAGTGGACAAAGTTTTCCCACAGGCACAAAAAATAACACAAATTGAATGTAAACTATGCACATAGCACTTACCATAACCATAACAAAAATGTGTTACTCAGCCTTTCTTCTACCTTAGGAGAAAAACAACCTGTGAACTAATATATGAAAACAGCACTTCCACTGAAACCACCTTGGTAAATCTTCTCCTACCAGAAACATGCAACTGTTGTTACCCCATACCAGTACATATACTAGTTCAAAGAATGTTTTGAGTTACTTTAGCAGTCAAATAA